GTTGGTTGATATTGGCTGTGCCTTTTGTTTCAATGTTTAGTCTTACATTATGATTTCATCGTTTTATATACACCACCCTGGAATCCTTGAATATGTGTTCTCAACACTTGTTAGACACGTAAATGCTGTGTGGAAATTGTCTGATCCATAGGCAAGGAAAGCAGTCTCCAGAGTGCACCAGACAGGAGGGCTTGGACTGACCAGCTGCCGTTAATCTGAGAGTGCAAGGTTCAGAGGGCAGCTTGCCACGTGGAAATAAAATTTATGGAGAAAAATGCTGTAACTTTCCCTCAAGGGGAGTTTCTTATCTTGGCTTCCTTTGCTGAGACCAGAGATACAAATTTTCCAAAGATGCAGCCAGATGAGATAGGCAAAAATTGTTTAAGCTGCTTTTTGAAGAGGATTGTGATTGACATCACTTTCAGAGTATAGCTCCTGGTGATAAAGTTTACCATGTAGGGCCATGAAGCAAAGTGAGAGGCATTTTATGGTGGTACGAAAGGGCTATTATTAAATTTTTAGTTATATAATATTTTTGAAAACTTACTGCCTGTGGTATTTTTTTGCCTCAGTGCCTGAATCCTAGTAAAACAGTAAACACAGTATCCTTATGGAATGAATGGATCCATTCTGGTATCTCAGATTTCTAAACCATAAAGAGCCTTCTTAGTTGTTATGCCTAAACTCTTAAATTTTGCTGCTGTTGATTGGTCCCCTGTGCTTGCCACATTCCGCTACAGTAAAATCATGTGCATCTCGATAGGTTTTTAATTGGCTGAGTGGACAATTTACTTTGATCATTTGATTATCTCTATTGCTTGCCCCATTGTTGTTTATAATGACATTCTACTGTTTTTTTTTTTACTTTCGATTCTGATTGTTGTAAGCCACCTTGAGGAGGCGTAAGCACTGAAAGGGTGGTATAGAATCCTTCAGAGGCATCCTATATATGTAACTACAGTTAAGATAAAACAGGACTTGGCCAAGATGCTTTGCTGCCTGAGGTAGGGAGCAAACAGTGCCCCACCTTACATCAAGTAAAGGTACAGAGTGGAAGAGTTGCTTTCACACCCAGGGCACAAAATCTTCCAAATGCCTCTCCTTGGTAGAAAAATATAGTAGCAGTAAATTAGTAACCAGCGGTCAGGAGCCTTGTGTGTGTTTAGTCGTTTAGTCGTGTCCGACTCTTCGTGACCCCATGGACCAGAGCACGCCAGGCCCTCCTGTCTTCTACTGCCTCCCGGAGTTGTGTCAGGTTCATGTTGGTTGCTTCGCAGACACTGTCCAGCCATCTCATCCTCGGTCGTTCCCTTCTCCTCTTGCCATCACACCTTCCTAACATCAAGGTTTTTTCCAAGGACTCTTTTCTTCTCATGAAATGGCCAAAGTACTGGAGCCTCAGCTTCAGGATCTGTCCTTCAAGTGAGCATTCAGGGTTGATTTCCTTTAGAACTGATAGGTTTGTTCTCCTTGCAGTCCAGGGGATTCTCAAGAGCCTCCTCCAGCACCACAATTCAAAGGCATCAATTCTTCGGCGGTCAGCTTTCTTTATGGTCCAGCTCTCACTTACATACATCATGACAGGAAAAACCATAGCTTTGACTATTCGGACTTTTGTTGGCAAGGTGATGTCTCTGCTTTTCAAGATGCTGTCAAGATTTGTCATCGCTTTCCTCCCAAGAAGAAGGCGCCTTTTAATTTCAGGGCTGCTGTCTCCATCTGAAGTAATCATGGAGCCCAGGAAGATAAAATTTGACACTGCCTCCATATCTTCCCCTTCTATTTCCCAGGAGGTGATGGGACCAGTGGCCATGATCTTAGTTTTTTTGATGTTGAGTTTCAGACCATTTTTTGCACTCTCCTCTTTCACTCCCTTTGGAGGGGGCTAGATGCACTGCATGGGTCAAGTGTTGCCAACTCTGGCATTGTACTCTTTCCATTTCTGTTTTCTCAGATGTTTAATTTTTAAAAATTAGTTTATTGTTTCTAAGATTTTAGAACCGCAGAATCAATTAATAACTGGTTTAGGTGGATTGTTGGTTGATATTGGCTGTGCCTTTTGTTTCAATGTTTAGTCTTACATTATGATTTCATCGTTTTATATACACCACCCTGGAATCCTTGAATATGTGTTCTCAACACTTGTTAGACACGTAAATGCTGTGTGGAAATTGTCTGATCCATAGGCAAGGAAAGCAGTCTCCAGAGTGCACCAGACAGGAGGGCTTGGACTGACCAGCTGCCGTTAATCTGAGAGTGCAAGGTTCAGAGGGCAGCTTGCCACGTGGAAATAAAATTTATGGAGAAAAATGCTGTAACTTTCCCTCAAGGGGAGTTTCTTATCTTGGCTTCCTTTGCTGAGACCAGAGATACAAATTTTCCAAAGATGCAGCCAGATGAGATAGGCAAAAATTGTTTAAGCTGCTTTTTGAAGAGGTGTTTTTGCTGACTGTATAGAGCTTCTCCATCTTTGGCTGCAGAGAATATAATCAATCTGATTTCGATATTGCCCATCTGGTGATTTCCATGTGTAGAGTCGCCTCTTGTGTTGTTGGAAAAGAGTGTTTGTGATGACCAGCTTATTCTCTTGACAAAACTCTATTAGCCTTTGTCCTGCTTCGTTCTGAACTCCAAGGCCAAACTTCCCTGTTGTTCCTTTTATCTCTTGGCTCCCTACTTTAGCATTCCAGTCCCCTAGAATGAGAAGAACATCTTTCTTTGGTGTCAGTTCTATAAGGTGTTGTAAATCTTCATAGAATTGTTCAATTTCAGTCTCCTCAGCAATGCTGGTTGGTGCATAAACTTGGATTATTGTGATGTTGAATGGTCTGCCTTGGATTCGTATTGACATCATTCTATCATTTTTGAGATTGTATCCCATTACAGCTTTTCCCACTCTTTTGTTGACTATGAGGGCTACTCCATTTCTTCTACGGGATTCTTGCCCACAGTAGTAGATATGATAATCATCTGAGCTGAATTCGCCCATTCCTGTCCATTTTAGTTCACTGATGCCCAGGATGTCGATGTTTATTCTTGCCATCTCCTGTTTGACCACCTCCAGCTTCCCAAGGTTCATAGATCTTACATTCCAGGTTCCTATGCAGTATTTTTCTTTACAGCATTGGACTTTCCTTTCACTTCCAGGCACGTCCACAGCTGAGCGTCCTTTCGGCTTTGGCCCAACCACTTCATTAGCTCTGGAGCTACTTGTACTTGTCCTCCACTCTTCCCCAGTAGCATGTTGGACGCTTTCCGACCTGAGGGGCCCATCTTCCAGCGTCATATCTTTTAGCCTTTTGTTTCTGATCATGGGGCGTTCTTGGCAAAGATACTGGAGTGGCTTGCCATTTCTTACTCCAGGTGGATTGCGTTTAGTCGGAACTCTCCACTATGTCCTGTCCGTCTTGGGTGTCCCTGCACGGCATAGCCCATAGCTTCTCTGAGTTACTCAAGCCCCTTCGCCACGACAAGGCAGCAATCCATGAAGGAGAGGCAGTAATCCATGAAGGAGCCTTGGCTTTCCCTTATTCCAGGTACATATATGGTGGGAAACAGTAGTTATCCTGCAGAAGCCAGTGTTTAGATCTGCTTCACCTGGTTTTATAAAGGGATTCTGAGTGGAGCAGAAGAGCACCCCCTTGAAATTTAGTGGTGAGTCCCCCTTCCTGGGCAATGAGCTACCCTTCCTGTTTCCAAGGGTGAACTTTTGGGCTGAAATCTAGGTTCCAAAGCTAAGTTTTGATTCACATCCTCTTGAAATGAACGCTTCCATCTGCTACAGCCCAGTGTTACTTGGCGTTCTCTTTCGCTCTGTTCCAAGTCTGTTGCAAATGAGAGGCGTGTTGCATCCCCAGCAAGAGAGGCATACCATCAAAAAGCAACCCCAAACCTAATTATCACCCCCCCTTTGATCTGAATAATCACATGTATCTTTGTTCTCACATTCCCCTCCCTTCGGTTTGCCAAACAAGAGGATCCTGCATCGATTTGCCTGCCAGCCCTGAATGATGCAGAAGCAGAACAAGGTTTTAATGGAAAAAGTGACCCCATTTTGCTTTGGAAAGCCAACATTGATCAAGCAGTCCTTTGATGCCAGCTTTGTTAGCCTGGCAGTGGGGAAGGAGGAGGAAAACACTCTTCTGCTGTAGTATCTGATAATCAAAAGTGCAGGCACCACTTTGTGCAGGGAAGGAAGGTGCATAGGTGGACACAGGCTTGTGAAGGATCTCTGGTTGCCTCCCTTCCTGCCCAAGAGTCTTTGGCCATCAAGGGAAGGGAGAGGTGGCAGGAGAGACTGATTTTCTTTTTACTCTTTTGGGGGATGGGTGTCTACAGCTCCCAGAATCCCTCATAAATTGTCAATGGGGGCATTCTGAAAGTTATAGTCCCAAAAATAACCTTTCCAGTCTCTCCTTCTGTCTTAGGGCAGTGGAGGGAGAGATGACTGAATAGGCAATAGGGTGTGCCTCCTTTCTTCCCCCCCCCCCC